TTTGAAACCAAAGTTATTGACATAAATTCATGAAATAGGAGTTCTATAACATTTTGAATGCAAGTCAACAAACGAGATGACATGGCCTTTCATCTGTGACCCATCTCGAAAGGGTTAACTTGAATTCTCCACTGTATAAGTATTCTCAGAATATGGAATATGACTTAACCTGAACTCTTATCTATATATGTAGTATTTTCAGAAAGAACTCAGCTAATTAAAAGCATCAACAGAAAATTACTGAAAATCTTAAAATTTTCTATAAAAATATAAGTTAATAAAACACTTTACTTCTTCAATATCAGTAATAACTTTATACTACATCAATAATGTCTCTTCAAGGCTGCATTCCCATTGAGCTTAAATTTTACATATCCATGCAAAAACTAGCTTCCCATAGAAATATGAATACCCTGAAATTTCACAGCCTGAAAATACATAATTTCTATGTACATCTCCCAAAGAAATTTCCATAGATAAATCAGCTCATGTAAAGCAGTCACTATATTCTTTAAAGAACAATCTATTTTATACAAAATAAAGTTAAAGCACTCACATGATGATTTCCTGCCACACATAAATGAGAGTTTCTTTCGCTGATGTTCCCGAGTCAATTTCCACAGATCTAAAACTAGGCCATGCTTGAGAGAAGCAAATTCTTTATTATATTGATACACATTCAAAATTCCATTAGTTGAGCCACTAATGAGATGTTGTCCCTCTTCATCCCCAACTACGTAGGACAGAATTCCTATATAAGAATAAGACACTGAGGAAGTTGTACCAGAAATGTGCTTAATAAATTTAAATCTTGTTCTTATAATACACAAGAAAATATATAATACATAAGAAAAGAAGAAATAATATGTAGAGAAATTTATATAATATTTTCACAGACATGAGAAGAGAAACATCATACAACACTATGATCACTAAACCTAAAAATATTTTCAATGTTTTCAACAACTTAACTCACCTCCATCTAAAGCCATCTGATTCAAAATACATCCTGTCCTCCAGTCCCATATCTACATGTACAGATTCCAAACCATTAATAGTTACATATTTGATTAGCAGTAACTCAGATGAGTAAAGTTATAATCACCACAATTCTAATCTCACTTAACTGATTTACTACTCTGTATAATTTTAGTGCATACAGTATTGTATCTTCTAGAGAATGTACGACATATTAAGTAGTACTGATATGCATACACCTCATAATAAAAGAAAACTAGGCATTCAACGTGAGAAACATACTTATTAAAAATACTGTTATATAATCATATCACTTGAAATGTTTACATGGCACGAGTGGTTTTCTTTTGGAATTACATACTATTACAAAATTTGGAATTCCACCCCCATCCCCATGGTCATTCTTTATTGTAGCAACACCTCTGCTATTTTTTCTTTCAGTTGTAAAAAATGTTAATGAGGTCATTAAAATACATTTTTTTATGATTTGCAAGCTGTAAGAATGGGTTTCTTGACATTAAACACCCAATGCACTTAGGATACCTGTCATGACTATGGTATTTGAATGCCTTTTCACTGCTAATTTTAGACATGGAATGCCAACAAAACTTTGAGAGTTTCTTATCAGCCAAAATGTATTAGAACAGAATTTCAAGGGTACTGTTTACTAAATTCTATCTTCAGAGGTACCAATATCTTTTTATTCCTATGTATTTCAGATTTAAAAAACAAACAAACTGGAATTCAGTTTGTGAAGCAAATATCATGTATAATACAAGTCATAAGAAGATGGATTCCAGCCAGTGGTTCTGGAATTCCATACATCACGTGAGCATGTCTACAATTATTCTTATCCTTAATACTTGCCTGTCTACACAGTTTCTTTGTTTTACTTTAATACTTTACACTATGTTAAGCTGAGTTTAATTAACCTAAGAAAGTGTAAATCTTGCATGTATATTAAAAGAAAAATATGGGTATGAAAATAATTTTAACATTTCACTAAACTTGTATGTACCTTACCATTAAATTTTACATTGGAGCTAATATTCTGAACAAGTGTCACCATTTTGTTTTCTTGACATATTTTATGTTTTTACAATAAAAATGCTACATTTAACTATCAATAGTTAATTATAACTTACTTTTTAATCCAACATAACTAAATGTAGAAAAAAAAGAAGACTTCTGGCCATACCTTGCAGGTTCTGTCTGTTATCACAGTTACTACAGTATCATAGCAACCAAACAAACATGCAAGCAGTGTGCCTCCTAATTCATCTTCGAACTTTCCCAGGTTTACTCGAGTCTATACACAAAAGTTATTGAAATAGAAACACAAATGTAAACATTTTTATGCAACAACTCATAAACATAATGTGCTGTGAAAGATACAAATTGTTCACAAGAAATGAAAACCTTAATGACAAAGCACTAATTTGATTTCAAATAAGGAAAATATATATTGTTTTCTGTACTTTCATCGCTCTTATTTATCAACATTCCAGAAGTGGAATTGATGACAGTGAAGAATATTTAGAGAGCAAAATTGAGTATGATAGATGGCTAAAGTTGTAACGATATAAATGAAAAGTATGAGTATTTTACTGAGTGTTCCAAAATTCAGCTTTATAATTTGAGCTGGTGAGTTATATTAGTCATGTTGAATTTGACACTCATACTAATGTCACTGAGGTCAATAGTTCTAACCACAGATCGAAGATTAGGGATTCTACAAGTTGAGATCAACAATTGAATAATACTGACTAGTAAGTATCTAAATCATTGCTTTAGTGCTTTTGATAATGTTTGTAAAATATATACATAAATAGAGACCTATGTTTAATGTTCTTATTATCTAGAAAATATAAAGGTTGTGTTATACACTGTCCAACTCGTATCCATCCTCACAGAATCTAAGCTGATAGTAATATAAGTAATAACTAATATGGAAATACTTAATGTGAGGATATATTTATTATATATGCTCTAACATGACTTTTAGACTTTAAGAATAGACCATTTATTTGTACTTTGGTAAAACAACATTCTATTATTTGCTGCCTGACATTGTTTTTGCCTATGACCTGCTTCCATTTTCATTGTAATACATACAATGCAGCCAATAATAACCTGCATGAAACCTTAAAAAGCACCCTCAATATTTCAAAAATCACATTTTTCAAGTTTACCCTAAATCAAAAGTTTATTCTCTTTTCTACATAAATAACTCATTTTTGTCTTAAAATCTTTACTAATTAATCTATAGAAAGTGATTAAAAATAAAAGTCTAGTCTGTTTTCATTCCATTTCCACTTCACCATTAAAGCCAATATAAGCATGAAATTTAGCACACTTGTTGATATTACACTCTTCCATAGCTTGAAGTTTTTAAAATTCAAAAATCATTACCATCTGTCTTGTTATGAGTCTAATTACCACTAATCAAGGCATTAATTAAAATTAATTGCCCATATCTCATTAATGTTGCAGAAAATTAGCAAAGTTTTTAATTCAAGCTATGAGGATGTTTACAAAGAGCATGTGTATCAATTTTCACATTTATATCATTCCTAATTAATGTTGTGGTGTTAAAACAGTTTATGTTACGTATTTCTTTATCCCTGCCACATTAATTATGCATATGACATATATGACATCATACTTTTGCTTTGTGCTCAACTTGAAGGTTATAAGAATTGTTTAACAGTGTTTCCTCAGCATGTAAAGTTGCCCAGTTTTCAGGCAGTGCTACCGAAAGAAAATCCAATTTGTTTTGAAGCAAAATGACTGATAACATCCTGGCATGATTCAAGTTCAAAAGTTTGAAACTCAAACAATTTAATATCTCATTTTAATTTTTCTGATTGGACATGGCTGCAACCATTTGTTTTTCTGCACTTTTCATGTCCATCACGAATGTTTTCATATATGGTTGATTACTGAGACCCACTCTGCCACTATCACATCTCCATTTCCATCTGGAGTGAATAATGCACACTAATAAAAGTGGTTGATTATACATTTTTCTCATTCTTCAATAACTCTGCAGTCTTATTGTGATGACAATTGTGAAATATTTTTCCTCGTCTTTGCAGACATCAAACTGATGATATATTTCTTTCATGTTCTCTCCAACATGTTTTCCAATTTGTACATGGCAGTCCTTTTTTTTTTTAGTAATTCATGGAATGAAACTCTTATTTTTAACTATAGCATCAAAATTTACTAGTCCATTGTCAATGACCTTATTACATTTTAAATCCATCAGTTACATAAGAACCAAATATATCAGAATAACCAGGACTATTCGATCATGAATCACTTTCAAGAACAAGTCCTTCCACATTGGTCCAATGATTTCAGTTATTAGTGTTTACTGTAGAACTTTCAGAGATGAAGGATAGCAGGCTACAAATGCAATTTTAGATGCTTCATGAAAATATGATATGGTATTAGTTGGTATATCTATATTTTGAAATGTTTTCCCATTTGAAAATGTGACAAAAATTTTGCAATGCTGTTGAATTATAACATAAGCTTCTTGAAAACTAACTATTACTTTTAAATTTTATCATAAGCTCCTTGAGAGTTAACTATTTATTGCTGTTGAACTTTAACATAAGCTCCTTGAGAGTTAACTATTACCGCTGAAGTTTAACATAAGCTCTTTGAGAGTTAACTATTACCGCTGAAGTTTAACATAAGCTCTTTGAGAGTTAACTATTACTGTTGAACTTTAACATAAGCTCATTGAGAGTTAACTATTTATTGCTGTTGAACTTTAACATAAGCTCCTTGAGAGTTAACTATTACTGTTGAACTTTAACATAAGCTCCTTGAGGGTTAACAATATATTACTGTTGAATTTGAACATAAGCTCCTTGAAAGTTAACTATTACTGGTTATGTTGCTTTATTACTTGACCTACAATTTCTAAAGAGATTATTTAGTTTGTTTTCATGAACAAGTAGTAGCCTATTTTTATTAGAAGAATAATGACTATTCATTTTCAGTAAACTAAGATCAGAATCAAAAGTATATACTGATGCTGACATGTGGTAACTTCCTTCAATATTATGATTGTTCATATTTTCACTGTTGTGTCTAGTAGATTTAATTATACATGGAAAGTATAAGAGTAAAAGTGGATTCAAATTGCTTTTCATCACATTCATCATGACATAAATCAAAATTAGTTTATTTCAATATTGAATGAACTTGCATTTTGCAGGTGTAAACAGATGAGTTGATATTACAACCTGTGGCCTCATCTACAGCTGTGTTTATGAAACTTAGGTTATTTTCATATGTATTTAAAGTTTGTAAAATTTTACAATTGGAAGAAAAAGATCGAATGTTTATAAAACTTCTTTAATAACCTGATGAATTAGTGAAGTATCTTAGTATTTGGTAAAGTTTTATACAACTGAGAAATATAGAAGTTAATCACAATATATAAATTATAATATCAGTGACAAACATTTTCTTTAATATGAATTGGCATTCAAGAATTTCTACACAATAAAACTTTCATTTTAAAACATAATAATATCTAATATTATTGCTTTACTCTAACAGTATCATTTTGCTGATAATACTTTATACTGGTACTACAACTAGCACAAGTAGGGTCTGTAGCACTAGTACTACTAGTAGTAGTAATGGTAGTGCTACAAAGAGTAGAATCAGCTTTTGATGAGACTGAAATTGATGTTGGAACAGCTTTTGGTTAAGTTTTAATTTCATTTTAATACCTAGACTGTTCACAGTTAATGAGCTTTGAATGAAATCATTATTCGTAAAATATTGACCACAAATGACACTCAATTTTGAGTTCACATTCTGGTCTTTTTTTGGTTATTTTGATAACAAAAATTCAAAGTTTATTTCTTTTTTCTCATTTAGATTGAAACAGTTGAAGTATGCATTTGAACAACCATACAAGGCATTTCTAGTACTAGTTATCTCTAAAATACTGAATACAAACTATGAGATACCAGTATGACATCACTTTCTTCTTGTTTTGACAGAAGCATCTTACCAAATCAAAAGTATGAAAACTCTAAAACACAGTTTCTAGTTAAATACAGCTATAAAACAGCTTTAAAAATACTTTACATTTCATTTCATTTATGTAGTTAGATTTCAATGCCAATTACATTTAAAATACTACATTACTCATTTTGCATAGAAGTTAACTATTGATTTAACATTTATATTAAATATCAAAAGATGATGCATATACTTTAAAAATGGCACTTTTTAAATGACTTTTGTGAATATATTTGACCCATTATTTTTGTTAAAGACCCTTCTTTGGAGCCACAAAAACATCTTGTGAAGATGAAATTATATTTTTCCTTATTATTATTATTGAGAACTAGCAGAGACCTTCAAAACATATGTAGTCAAATTAGCATCTCTATTGCAACAGTATTTCTTTAAATACAGGATTTCTAGAATAATACAAAAGAATTCTAATCACAGACACCAAGATCTAAAAGTCCACTTGTCTTAGGTCTAACATTATTTAAGTCTATTATGTACTGCTTATAGTCGATAGAGATAAAGTAACACTGTAATTTGTGTACATTTTTCATTTAGCTAAACTTTACCATACTTAATACTATCAATAAATAAACTTGTTATTCTAACACATAGCATAAGATCTTTTTTAAAACTTCGATAATCATTTAATATGTTGTTGTACAAAACACCTACTAAAGTATATTTACATCTTTCTTTTGTTTCAACCATTGAAATGAAATGCATGTGCATTGTCATGATATAAAACACTTTTTAGTGTAGATATTATAAACTTATTTATTTTGTGATTGAATATTTTATGATTGTTTACTGTTTTTTTTATAAGAGTTAAAAGCAGACAATTCTTGGAAGTTGTGTTTATAATTAGTGTGAAATAAATAGTCAGAGACAAACGGAAACAGCAGACAGACAGAGCAAACAAAAGACCAGAGAACGGGAAGTAGAAGTGTGGACAAAGAAAAAGTTAGAAAATGAGAGTTAACAGTCATAGGAGTGGATAGCCTAGCGGTTGATATGTTAAAGTGAAATTAACAGTTTTCTAACACTTTAGGAGAATAATTTGTCTTGTAAAAGGGTGTTCTAAAGCAACTGAATCTGCCTGTGTGGACTTTGACAAAAAACAGATCATTATTGGAAGTAGGCCTAAATATAAAAAACCAGACAAGTATCAAAAGTTCAAGATACAATTGCAGTAACTCAACAAGACAGAGTAAGTGAATTATACACAGAATACTATTGCGATAGAAATAGAGAAAGTTAGTTCAGCTTGTCAACTGAAATTCTAAAGCACTTGAATAGGGCTAAATGGACTTTTGACAAGAAAAAGAGAATATATTTATGATATACCTATAATCTTTATAGTGTAAAGAATTTGTTGTACATATGTTTAACTTGTTCTGAATATATATATATATATTACTCTAAAAACAAGTGGTGTGTGTACTGTTCATTTATCATAGAATTTATTGTCAACAAGTCACAGACACCTACTGTAGAAGAATCCCAAACCACAACAACAATATATATTTATACTATTAGGAAGTATAAGTAAAAGCCTGTAATTGACAATTGGCGAACATAACTTAACATTTGACATGCATGCACATTTACATAGTAAATTTACATACCAGAAGTGGCAAGGACTCTTATGCTCCACTAAAAGAAAGAGGGGGGATATTTGATGGGGAATCTTGAGGAACAACACACTGGAGACAGTGCATTGGGTTTCTGCAATTCCCTATTTCAAAAAGATGAAAGACTCCGATTGTAGGAATCATGGGTCAACAGGGATGGGCAAAAATCCCCATCTTTTTTACTCATGAATTCTATGAGTTACGATCTTATATATACGAGACAGTGATATTAAAAAATATATACATACAGACACACACACACCAGTGTATAAGCAGCTGGTGGTCTTACAGAAACACCCCATTTCAACAGTGAGCATTATAGAAATATACAGATTTAGTACTAATATAATAATAAGCATACCTAACCAGGCAACACCCACCACCAGGTGGGATCATGAAATATGATGTATGTCAACAAACTAAGATAAAAAATAAAAATATGTGGACTTATCTCAGTCAAAGGCAAACAGACGTGTGTTGAAATGCTACAGGAGGAAGATGATACCTGCCCAAGAAAGACAAAGGTTGTGCAGATAAAGTGTGACAAATGTATTAGGAGTTTCCACATACCAGCCTGAACGATCTCCTCCAAAGGTCAGCAGTTTGGAGCAGCTAAAGACATAATTACATGATTAATTTTGAGTGAAGAAACATTATGTAGATGGCTACCTTCCATGGACACATCAGAATATGCCAGTCGTATGAGTTGAAAAACCCAACCAGTGAGTGTAATAGGTGATAGACCACAAGAAACAGAGGAATTCCATGGAAAAAAATAGACAGGAATAAGAACCACAAAAGGAGGCAGTACAAGCCATATAACATAGTAGGTAATGGACTGGACAAAGTAGTTAATCGGGATCTGAATGGGAGTACAAGTGGGAAATGGAAGGTAAAGAAATAGGAGAAAAGGCTGACCAACCTTTCCGAAAGTGGGAGAACAAAAAGTGTTCAACAAGGTAGCCCTATAATGAGCAACAGTTGAAACAGACAAACCATAATCAAACAACCAGGTGAAGAACTGGTACAGGTGAGGAACAGAAGGACAGAATGATCAAAAGCCATAGCAAATAGACCAATGTCTCTGGTACAAGGAGGAAGGGCGATTGTATGGTATAAGCAAGGAAATACACTACATGAGGGGTGAGTCCCTGAGCTGAGGCAAGGGACCAGACAAAAGCCATACATGAAGATGGAGTTTGGTGATGCTGGGATGAAATACATCCTATTGCAGTTGTCGGAGGAGCAATCAGGACAGAGGGAAGGGCAGGAGCTGTTGCTCCAGTAAGGGCCAGAGCAGAAAGAACCACGTCTGAGCTGGCCAATAAGGAGCAGCCAGCAGAACATGACAATGAGTGGTCTGGATAAAGTAAATGACTTTGAAAAGGAGTCTCATTAGAGGGTAGGCATATAGGTGAAGACCTCTCCAATCTCGACTGAAAGTATCCACCCCCAGGGCTGAGGAACTGGTGACCAAAAGGAAAGAAGTTTGGTATTCTAGTGAGTGACAAAT